CTTTTGTGACCGCATTAATAAGCCAGTTTTACTCCTATACTACTCCCTCCGTCCCCAAAAAAGACAAACCCTAGATTTTTGTATCCAAAGGTTGACCGTCCGTCTTATTTGATAAAATTATGAAAAAAAATAAAAAGACAAGTTACGCATAAAATATTAATCATGTTTTATCATCTAACAACAATGAAAATACTAATTATAAAAAAATTTCATATAAGACGGACGGTTAAACGTTGGACACGGAAACACAAAGTTTATCTTTTTTAGACAGAGGGAGTATATCAGAAAGTAAATTTAGTACTTCCTCCGTTTCACAATGTAAGTCATTCTAATATTTCCCACATTCATATAAATGTTAATGAATCTAGATAAATATATATGTCTAGATTTATTAGTATCAATATTTAATACGAGAAATACTAGAATGACTTACATTCTGAAATGGAGGGAGTACGTCTGCAAAGGCTGAATCACGTGCTTAGATCCCTGACCCCTCACGATAGGAGAAGCTAGGCACATAGTAGTGGACTTTTTCATGCATGCATGCAGAAGGAGCTGGCAGGGTGAATGAAGCAATATCGCATGTTCTTCATGAATCATGAGGCAAGATAATGGAACCAGAGGACTTTCAACTTGGGCAGCAAATTGATGGTATTGTTATTGTGTTTCACGCTAACTCGACTATTTTTTTAATGTAATCATTTGACATACCCTTTTTTTTCAAACATAATGGAATATAAATACCCAATTACGACAAACCGGAGTGTTTTTTATAAAAAAACTTTAAAAAAAAACTACGACAAACTGGAGTTCAATCCATCAATGATGAGCTCAAAAGCAAGGATCTGATTAAACTTACTAGCAGTACTACTAGCTTTTGACTGCTAATTGTGCCGATTAGAGGGCAAAACACGTGCCAAAACCTAACCCAATAATTGGGCAGGAGTTTCGTTGCGGCCCGGAAGCACACACATAAAGATTGATTGGTCGATCGTTCGATCTAAACAACCCGCAAAAGCCAGGCCGGAGAAGAGAGCGACGCCCCGGGCCGCCACAACCCGACGCGTAGCCGCTCTCTCGCCCACCCGCGCCCACTGGGGCGTTGCTATAGCTGCCAACTCGAAAACACCCCGCGAGTCGCCAACTCGCCACCGCGCCGCAAGCCACAACAGACACTGTACATCATTAACAACCCCCCGGATGCGGCGCCCCCCTCCCCCATCTCCAAACGGCGTTGCGCGCCGCAGAAAAAATTTCGGCGGAGCCGCCACGCCACGCGCCGCGTCCAACCGCGTGCAAGAAAAAACACACGTCCACTTCTGTCGATCCGTGGCGAATTCGTCACGTACACCGCTCGGCTTTTCACCATCGGCACTTGGAAGTTGAAAGTGCACGCACCTCCTGCTAGCTTGGAGCTGGAGGGCTGGAGGCTGCAACGAGGGGCATCAGCATCGGTCCTGCTTCTTCAGATCATGTGAACGGTTTATTCTCTCCGGTGCTTAAGTCAATGCTTTTTATTCTACACCAAACCAACTACCAGATGCTGACACGTTTTACTTCTACTGCTCCTACGTACTCCTACCTGTTCTTGGCACAATCAATGACTGAGTCAGTCGACCATTCGACCTATCGCCGAGACCTGTTCTCCCTAATCAAGTCCATGACTGCGATTCGTTTTCGGTATCCCACATAAACAAACCGGCCTAGATTCCACACCGGCACCGCGATGTGAATAAACAAAATCATCATTGCGCGAAACTCAGTAGCTAAGAGCACCCGCAATGGTAAAGTAATGTGCTATCTATAAAACATGTACATCTCAGCAATAGACTAGATTAATAGTAAACCATCTCAATAGTATGTCTACATGGGTATCTATAGCTCTTTAATACATTGCCTCGTTTTTCTCTATAGACTATCTCCAGATTAGTAGATAGCTTTGCTCTCTCTCTTCATTTAATCTCTTCCAAGTAGAAAAATATGCTGACATAGATCTCTTATAGAGAGTCTATAGATAACCATTGTGGGTGTCCTAAGAGCACCCGCAATGGTAAAGTAAGGTGCTATCTATAAAACAAAACATGTACATCTCAGCAATAGACTAGATTAATAGTAAACCACTTCAATGGTATGTCTACATGGGTATCTATAGCTCTCTAATGCATTGCCTCGTTTTTCTCTATAGACTATCTCCAAGTTAGTAGATAGCTTTACTCTCTCTCTTCATTTAATCTCTTCCAAGTAGGAAAATATGCTGACATGGATCTCTTGTAGAGAGCCTATAGATAACCATTGTGGGTGCCCTAATACTTGCCATCGGTTATCCAACTCGTTAACCTAGAAGGGCCTGATTGTGATGTCCGTGAGATTGTCGGTAAGGCAACCAGGCAACTAGGCAGCCGTTTCCTGGGTCTCGACAAAATCGAGCGGCGGCAGCAGCCCGACCGCGAGAATCAAACAAAACTCAACAACTTGCATGCTTTAGCTTGCGCGATGCCCAGTACTAATATTGTCCGGCTTCGCTGACAGTATACGGGTGTCCAGGCCTCGAAGTCCACACGTTTCAGCCTCTAAATGGATGGGAACTGTCAATTTGGTGAACCATGGGCTTTGGCTGTATGTGAACCAGTCCAACGCCGACGGCCTAGGCCTCTTTGCTGCCTTGAACATTTTAGGCCTTCTGGGCCAGAGTGATTATATCATTTTAGGCCCCCCCCCCTTTTTTTTTTTGCCAGAGCTATTTGGTCATTAGAACTCCAGCACTGTAATTTTGCCGTGCCATAAACTTGAGAATGGGATGTGTAGTGTACTAATACTTACTGTTGATCTTAAGGCTGTGTTCTTTGGTGTGCTTGGGAACAAATCCCATGCAAAAAAAAAAGAAGTGGTAGATTGGTGAATGGTTAATTAAATAATAGCTTCAAAAACTTAAAAATAGATTAATATAATTTTTAAAAGCAATTTCTCTATTATTTTTTAAAAAAACACACTGTTTAACGGTTTGGGAAACGTGTGTATGTGAAACGAGCGTGTGGAGATTAGGAACCACCCCACAAACGAACTCAGCCTAAGCCGAGTTGTTAGCATTGTCCATTAAAATCTAATAGTGTGGCCCGCGCAATTACATGGCTAGCGCCTATATAACTATTTTTTTACACATAATTTTCTTTAAAATTTACTACCTCCATCCTAGAATATAACAAGCTTTAGAGTTGAATACGATTATTAAGAAAATAGATAGAATTAAATAGGAAAATGTTGTGATTGGTTGAGAAGTTGAGGTACGTGGAAAAAGTGAATGGCAGAGGGTTGTGATAGGTTGGGAATGGAATGTTGATGAAGAAGTTCTTATACTTTTGGACAAATCCAGAGCATTAAAAATTGTTATATTTTGGTACGAAGGGAGCATTACATAGTCATCTCGTTCTTAGGATTTTAAAAATAACAATTTAAATTTGAGTAAATTGTATATTGGGCCTATATATTTTTACCAGTGTTACACCTTGGACCAGAGACAATCTAACTTTTCCGCTATGAACCACTTAATTTTACAATCGGCTTCAGTTTGGACCTCTGTTTCCTCAAGTTCCCTCTCCCTAGTCCCTCCCCACTTCTCCATGTTGCAGGGACATCACCGGTGAAAACCTCATCCGACCGGCACCACTGCTCCACTCAATATCGGCCTTCACATCGAGCCTCCGTAGCACTGACGCGTTCGACCTCGAGTCCCACCAGTATCGGCGCCGGCGCAATAACACCCTTCAGCCAAGCTAGCACCACCTGTGCCCCATGGCTTTGGCCCCTATCTTGAGCTCGAGCTCGACCGGTCGATATCATGCTCCATCTCTAGCTCCGCCAGTGTTGATGCAACGAGCGCTTGAGCTCAAGTTCCATCTTTATCCCTGCAATGGCCAAGGTCAATGGAGATTTTTTTTTGTGCTTTCTTTCTAAGCTCAAGTGCAAATATGTGTGGGGGAGATATTGAGATGCCACTCAAGAGCGATGCCGGCGAGCTCCGACGTGAGCGTTGTGGCAGTGGCGGTTGAGCGTTACTCGACCTGCTCATGGTGGTTCCTAGCGTGAGGAAGGAGAGAGGGAAAGTTGGAGGTAGAATAGCATGCCCATGGTGAAATATTTGGTATTTTTTCCTAGCCCAACTTGAAAATGTCAGCTTACCCCCGGTCCAAAGTACAATAGTGGTAAAAAAAATATGGCCCAATATACAATTTAGTTTTTTTAATTTTATAGTTTTTAAAAGTTACAATAATCCCCTTACTCCTTTTCGTTTGCCTCCTATTTTCGAGTCACATAACAATAACAATTCAGTAAACATACTCACGAGAAATGAGGTAATAGTCAGATTGGAGAAAAACTTAAGGCCCCATTGACTTACCTTTTTGGATTGACTACTTCATTGTTCTATGTGAGCACGTTTTCTAAACGGTTAGTTTTCTTTAAGTTCCTTTTCAAGTTCTATTAAATAAATAAATACACTTTACGGTAGTTAATATTCACAGTATGATGAATCCGAACCAAAACTTTCTATATTTTGGGACGGAGGGAGGAGGGAGTATTAATATTTAGGGCATGTTTACTGTGCTACTATTTTCAACCTTAACAAGTTTTGGCATTGCCAAATTTCGATAAGGTTACCAAAATTTTGGTAAATTTGTCAAATTTTCGCAAGATTTCATATGTACTTACTAAAATTTGGCAACAAACTAAATGCAGCTACTTTTTTTTATAACTTAAAAAAAAGGTAAAGTTAAAAATGGTAACAAAGTGAACAAGCTCTTAAATTATACATTAATGATTTAGCTCGTCTTAGGTGCGGTGGAACAGCTGAGCTTAACCGCAAAGCCTGTTTCTATTGAGAGGACGCAAAAACTGCAGTGGAAGAAACGAACGACAGAAGCTGCCGTGCAATTCGTAGTTGCGTTTGGTTCTCGTCGAGAGGTCGAGTAATAACTTTGGAAGAAAGGCAAAACAAACGCGTTGGGCTTAACACAGTCTTACACAGATCGCTTCACTTTTACACGAAGCCCCTCGCAATTCTTCGACCTCCTAAACTCCCCCATCGCGATCCCTCTCCTCCTCCTCTTTCCCCAATCTCGCGCGACGCGGCGGAACCCTAGCCCCCACCGCGATTCGCTCGCCGGAGAGGGAGAGGGAGGGAAGGGAGGCTAGGGGACCCCCTCGCCGGCGGCGGAGATGGAGGTGAAGCTGTGGAACGACAAGCGGGAGCGGGAGCTCCTGGAGAGCCTCGCCGACCTGTACGCCATCATCAAGGCGACGGAGAAGCTGGAGCGCGCCTACGTCCGCGACCTCGTCTCCGCCGCCGACTACGAGGCCGAGTGCCTCAAGCTCATCTCCCAGTTCAACTCCCTCTCCTCCTCGCTCGCCGGCGTCGTCACCATCCCCCGGTTCGTCGAGGCCTACCGCCTCGACTGCCCCGCCGCCCTCAACCGCCTCGTTCAGTCCGGCGTCCCCGCCACCGTCGAGCTCCGCGCCGCGGCGTCCTCGTCCGCGCCGGCCTCCTCCGCGGCGTCCGCGGCCGCCATCGCCCAGTGCGTCCAGAGCTTTATTACCGCCATGGATGCCGTCAAGCTCAACATGCTCGCCAACGACCAGGTCCGCCCCTTGCTCCACGACCTCTCGACCTCCATGGGGAAGCTGGGCCCCGTCCTGCCGCCGGACTTCGAAGGGAAGGTCAAGGTGAGCGAGTGGCTCGCCAAGCTAAATAAGATGGGGGCCGGGGATGAGCTCACCGAGCAACAGGCAAGGCAGCTCAACTTCGATCTGGATTCGGCGTACAGTGCGTTCATGGCATCACTGCCCAGCACCGGCCTATGAGCAAGCCTCATCCTGGTTCTGAGTTGGTTTCTTCTTTTTATTTTTCTCATGTGTTTTTCTATGGATCACCGCTGCAGTGTTATAGCCTTATAGGTATGTGTAACTTGAATTGTGCTATATTATTTGTCAATAATAGTGCCAATTTTGTGGTAACACATGCTGTTATAATGAGTTCTGTGGCCTATTGGTTATATATATTGTACCGTTCCGGATTCTCACTTCGTGAGATTACCTGATCCTTATACGAATTATCTGAATGATTGCGCTCATGCTTACGTTCTTGCCTTTTGTAGCTATTGCATCGCAAAGTTTTCATCTTGTACCAAGCTGGTGCCTGGTTCATCTATTGGGTTTCATAAAAAATTTCTGGCAGCTAGCAATAATAGGAAATAACACAAACTGTTTTGAGCAATAGCTCCAATGGGCTCTTTGGAACATATAGTGGTTATAATACACGAAGTGCTGGTTTTCCTACCTACTAATATACAGTTAGATTGCAATCTGCAATATTATTTTGGTAATGGATATATCCTTTGTTTACAGCCATTACATGTTTCAGTTTTTTTACTGGTCTTCACTAAGCAACTTTTGCTGCTTAGTTGTCACCTGCATCAGAAGGCAGAGAATAACTTAACTTTACATGAGATAGGTGAGCCCAATTTTATTGAAACAATATTTTCCACTTGCAATTTTGTATTCAGATTAACTAAAGGTTGTCCCCAATATTTTCTCTTCTCAGTATAGCTTTCAGAGGTGAAAAGAGAAAAAGGAGAAATAAAAGGAGGTAGCAGATCACTCTGCATTTCAAGTTGCTGACCTAGCCTAATCAACATGTCAAATGTCAGACGTGTATTGAGTTTGATGTACTAACCACTACAACTTATTGAATAAGTATGAATTGGGTTTTTTACCATTAACATTTAACTGCTGCAATGGATAAGTACAAATGAGGATATTTAGTATTAACATATTACTATCTTTTATAGACACTTGTATCAGTCTATCTCCATTACAGGTGTAACTTCTGTTGGTTTGTTGATATCACAAAAGGTAAAAGAAAAAGTCGCCTTAACTATAAGTCTGTAACTGTACAATATGGCATATGGTTCAGGTAATATATCTGTAAAGCTTTACAAAATATCTCCAAATACCAATCTAATTTGTTGTCCAGAATTTAATCTTACTAAAGGATATCTTAATGACTGATAGGAGTTAGGACTTTATCCAATTTGGTATGTTTTCTGGAGCTATATAAATTTAGATAATTGCTTATGGAACAAGTTTTCTGTAGTAGTAGATGTTGTTCAAATGATCTGCAGTGCTCTACGAGTAAATGGCTTTGTTCTTTATTTTTGCTAATAAGGGGTTGAAAGCATGGCTGCACCAGTACTTTCTTTGAAATTTAAAGGACATGAACGCATTTGTGGTACTCAACAGTTTGATTCTCTAATTTGACTCGGTCTCATTATGCAATTGTTGTAAATTGGGCATGACCCAAGCTGTATAAAAAGAGAAGGCAACTCGCCATCATGTACTTTTTGTTTATTATCCCCCAGTGCAGAATATATACTTCATTCCCGAACATTTGAGTCATCTACTATCTTGCAATATCACTCTTCCTCTCCCTCCAGCTCTTTTGACTTGAGCGCAATCCTCTCCATTCCACTCTCCTGCAAGGCAGTCCCATGTGAGTTATCCATATAAACCTAAGTCTGCTCATCTTTTATATTTGCAACCCTCGTGTTTCTTAAATAAAGTGTTGATTGTTCACTGTTAGTCTATCATCTACCCCAAAGGTTTGGTTGTTCCTATTTCCTATTGTTTTCTCATTCATATGAATATTTGAGAGCACTAATCTTCATCCTTGGCTCTGATAACTCCCAGGTTCTCATCTCTCACTTTTGCTTCTTTGATTATAGGCCTGAAGTCCAGAAAGTCCTTTGGTCATGTGCTGCTCTTTCCACTCTGAGAAGCAGCAGCCACGAGACTATTAAACCAAGGGAACATCTGTTACGGTTCCTTGGCGGAGGCAGCAGCGCTGGCTGCCTTAGGATGGGTGGTATCACCGATCATCACCAAGTTCATCAACCGCGCCTCAACCTACCTTGGCAAGGACATGGTGTGTGAGCTCCAAGAACTGGAGGCCACCATCCTGCCACAGTTTCAGCTGGTGATCGAAGCAGCCGAGAAGAGTCCCCATAAGGGCAAGATCGAAAGGTGGCTGCGCAAACTGAAAGCAGCTTTCTATGACACTGAAGATGTGCTGGATGAGCTCGAGTATGACATCCTCAAGCGTGTAGCAGAGAAAGGCGCACAAGCATCGTTGATGGTTGCCTCCTCTAATTCCGTTCCAAAGCCTCTGCATGCTGCATCCAACAAGATGTCCAATTTGCGCCCTAAGAACAGGAAGCTAATCAGCAAGCTCGAAGAACTGAAGGAAATCTTGGTGGAAGCTAAGGCTTTTCACGATCAGCTTGGCATACAAGCTGGCAATTCGACAGAACTTATGGTCACAGCACCCATCAGGCCTAACACCACCACTTCCTTTTCCTCATCAAATGTTGTTGGTCGCGACGAGGATCGTGATCGTATAATTGATATTCTCTGTAAGCCTGTGAATGCCGGAGGTAGCATGGCTAGGTGGTACTCATCTCTGGCAATTGTTGGAGTTGGTGGTATGGGAAAAACTACACTAGCTCAGCATGTCTACAATGATGAAAGGGTGGCTCAGTATTTTGATGCCAGGATTTGGGTCTGCATCTCGCGCAAACTTGATGTGCATCGTCACACGCAAGAGATCATTGAGTCCGCTGGAAAGGGCGAGTGCCCACGTATTGGCAATCTCGATACCCTTCAGTGCAAATTAAGGGACATATTGCAAGAATCAGAGAAGTTCCTGCTAGTGTTGGATGATGTTTGGTTTGACGAATCCAAAAGTGAGACAGAGTGGGACTGGGAGCAACTGTTAGCTCCTATAGCTTCTCTGCAGAGGGGAAGCAAAATTCTAGTAACGTCCCGCCGGAATGCACTTCCAGCTGTTCTTGACTGCAAGAAAATTTTTCCTCTGGAAAGCTTGAAAGATACTGATTTCTTGACAATCTTCAAAAGCCATGCCTTTTCTGGAGCTGAAACCAGTGATCCTTGGCTGCGCGAGAAGCTAGAGATTGCCAAGAAGATCTCCAGAAGGCTTGGACAATCACCGTTGGCAGCAAAAGCTGTCGGTTCTCAGTTGAGCAGGAAAAAGGATATAGCTACATGGAGAGCTGCTTTAAAGAATGGCAACTTAAGCGAGACTAGAAAAGCTCTATTGTGGAGTTATGAGAAGTTAGATCCACGTCTTCAGAGGTGCTTTCTGTATTGCAGCTTATTTCCAAAAGGTCACCAGTATGAAATTGATGAGTTGGTTCACCTTTGGGTGGCGGAGGGATTAGTTGATTCATGCTACCAGAATAACAGAATGGAAGATATTGGCAGAGATTATTTCAATGAGATGGTGTCTGGATCTTTCTTTCAACCAGTTTCTAAAACATATGTGGGTACACGGTATATTATGCACGATCTCCTCCATGATTTGGCAGAGGCACTATCTAAAGAAGATTGCTTCAGGTTAGACGATGATAAGGTGAAAGAAATGCCATCCACTGTTCGGCATCTGTCTGTCTGTGTTCAGAGTATGACACTGCATAAGCAAAGTATCTGCAAGCTACATCATTTGCGCACTGTTATCTGTATTGACCCACTCACGGATGATGGAACCGATATTTTCAATGAGGTAGTGCGGAAACTGAAGAAGTTGCGTGTACTATATTTGTCATTTTACAACACTACCAATTTGCCTGAATCCATTGCAGAGCTCAATCACCTTCGGTATTTGAATATCATCAAAACGTTTATTTCTGAACTACCAAGATCATTGTGTACTCTGTACCACTTACAGCTACTTCAGTTAAACAATAAAGTTAAGAGCTTGCCCCACAGACTCTGCAATTTAAGCAAGTTACGGCACCTTGAAGCATACGACAATAGAATAGATATATTGATCAAAGCAGATTTGCCTCAAATTCCTGACATTGGCAAGCTAAGTTCGCTCCAACATATGAATGACTTTTACGTGCAAAAGCAGAAGGGATACGAGTTACGACAAATGAGGGACATGAATGAGCTTGGTGGCAATTTGAGAGTCAGAAATCTTGAGAATGTCTATGGGAAAAATGAAGCCTTAGAGGCGAAGCTGCATCAGAAAACTCGACTTAAAGGCCTGCATCTTTCCTGGAAACATATGGGTGACATGGATATAGAAGGTGTTTCACATTTCGAGATTCTAGAAGGCCTGATGCCGCCACCTCAATTGGAGCGCCTTACAATCGAAGGTTACAAATCCGCCATGTATCCAAGCTGGTTACTTGATGGCTCCTATTTTGAAAATCTAGAATCTTTTAGGCTTGTTAATTGCAGTGAGCTCGGAAGCCTACCTTCCAATACGGAGCTCTTTGGGCGCTGCATGGCACTAACCCTTTGGGATGTCCCAAATGTGAAGACATTATCTTTTCTTCCAGAAGGTCTCACAAGCCTATCAATTGACAGGTGCCCACTGCTTCTGTTTAGTACTAACAATGAGCTGGAACATCATGATCATAGTGAGAGTTCTATGAGGACGGATCACCTGGCAAAACATGTTTTAATCGCGGAGGCAGGTTCTGGTTCAGACACTAGGAGCGCACTGTTGTCAGAACATTCATCTATGAAGCAGTTGGCAACATTGATGTGTGCGGATATATCGGAAAATCTTCAAACCATTAAAAGCAATTTAGAAAAAGAGAGAGATGAAGCATTGGTGAAAGAAGACACCATTGAAGCATGGTTGTGTTGCCACAAGGAGAGGATGAGATTCATTTATTCAGCGAAGAGTGGGCTGCCGTTGGTTCCACCATCAGGACTTTGCGAACTCTATCTTTCTTCATGCAGTATTACAGATGGAGCTTTAGCTCTTTGCATTGGTGGCCTCACTTCACTTAGAGAATTGAGCTTAACAAACATTATGACTTTAACTACGCTTCCATCGGAAGAGGTCCTCCAACATCTGGCCAATCTCAATTTCTTGGCCATTCGTTCCTGTTGGTGTATCAGATCGTTGGGGGGCTTGCGAGCTGTCTCTATTAAAGAAATGAGATTGTTTTCCTGCCCTTCTTTAGAGTTGGCATGTGGCGCAGAGTTTATACCATTGTCCCTTAGGAGACTATGTATATACAGGTGCGTTGTTGGAGCCGACTTCTTCTGTGGTGATTGGCCGCAGATGAGGGAAATTCTCTTATGCCAGTGCAGAAGCTCTGCGTCCTTGCATGTTGGTGGCCTAACCTCCCTTGAATTATTCGCACTATATCACTTGCCAGATTTGTGCGTGCTGGAAGTCTCGTCATCCCCTCGACTTCACCAGGTGCATTTGATAAATGTTCCGAAGCTTACTGCCAAGTGTATCTCACAGTTCCGTGTCCAGCATTCACTCCATATTAGCAGTTCTCTGATTCTCAACTACATGCTATCTGCTGAAGCTTTCGTACTTCCAGCATATCTCTCTCTTGAAAGGTGCAAGGACCCATCCATTTCATTTGAAGAATCTGCAATTTTCACATCTGTCGAGTGGCTGAGATTATCTAAGTGTGAAATGAGATCACTACAAGGAAATATGAAGTGCCTATCCAGTCTAAAGAAACTCGATATCTATGATTGCCCCAACATATCATCTCTACCAGATCTACCGTCTTCCCTCCAGCATATATGCATATGGAATTGCAAACTCTTGGAGGAGAGCTGCCGAGCACCTGATGGAGAAAGCTGGCCAAAGATTTTAAGATTGCCCATATCCGCTGGAAGGAATTCAGATGAATTGTGCATCAGAATCACAACTACACAACAGTGGTTGCGTTGGTTGCTTGGTTAGTCTGAAGGAGAGGAAAAACCGGGTCTTTGATTGTGGTGCCAAATCCTGGCCGCGGCTATTCGCTAAAATTGCAGAAGAAGCAAAGCAATGGAGCTTGGCCGGCCGGCCAATTGTAGAGTTAGTACTACCAAGCAGTCTCTTTTCGTCGTAGGTCGTTTTCCATACTTTGGGAGATATTGCTTTGTGTCTGTTCCAGCCTCTTGGTGTTCTGTAAACTCTCCTATGAAATCTTAATACGAATTAATGGTGTGCACTGTTCATACGCATTCCCAATAAAAGAATCACAACTGCACCGGAACGGAAAATTGAAGGTTCCATCTCAACTTTTTAGATGATTTCACTTCATTCATTTAAGTACCTCATTTCATGCTCGATACAATTATACAATGTGCATTTCCCCGATGTTGTGACAAGTTGTTTTTCCTGTTATCTTAACTGGAAAAAATGCCGGTGCGTTGTAGCGGGTGAAGACTATTTTAATTTTATTATTGTTATACGGTTTAGATAAGGTGAAATTCATCGTGAAAATTCGCTTGGATATATATTTTTCTATAAAATCTTGAGCTGTAATTAGGAGTTCGATCATCTAAAATTAGCATGCGAGTTTTTCAAAGAGATTTCTTACACGTTTCGTTTTGTATTTCCATAAGCGAATGAACTTAAATTCCTATTCAAATATTGATACATATTTTCAAAAGCGAACAAACTTAAAAACCGACTCATACATGGATAACGTACCAGAGTACCAGTAAAAACATCTTCAATTTTTATAATAGATGAGATAAAGGGAATGCTAGTAGATGGGATCCTGTCCTAACCGTGATGAAAACATCACGGCATAGGCCAGGGACCAACCGATACTAATCCACCGATTCTCTCTCCTTTTACATTATCCATTTTACCTCCGCTCTCTCTTACCCACAAGAGCACGCGTAGTGCTATAGCAAATTGGTCGGTGACGATCTCTGGTGTTGCATGGGGCGTGGATGGTGTAAGACGCGGCCGCTGGCGACGAGCTCCGGCGTGGCCACCTAGCGATGAGCTCCAGTGTGGTGTAGGGCATGAACAGCGGAGGATGCGGCCGCCGGCGACAAGCTTCGGGGTGGCGTGGGGCATGGACGGCAAAGGACACGATTGTCGGCGACAATATCTTGGCGTGGCGTGGAGTATGGACGACAAAGGACGCGGTCGCCGGCGACGAGCTCCGGTGTGGAGCGTGGATGACGGAGGACATGACCATCGGCAATGAGCTCCTGGTGTGGCGTGGGGTGTGAACGGCAGAGGATGCAGCCGCCGGCAACAAGCTCCGACGTGGAGTGGGACATGGATGGCGGAGGACGCGGCCACTGGCGACGAGCAATGAGGGCACGACCACAGATGAAGACGTATCGGTACATGACTCCTGATATTTAGTAGGAATCACATGTTATCTGGTAGTTATCACTTTAGTATTAACGAGTATCAGATGGTATCAATGGGTATCGGTCAATATCTATAGGTATCATCTGACACCTCACAATTATCACCAAATTAGGGGTGAAAATGATCGAAAACGGTCGGAATCGATAGCATCTCTTCAGAAACGATGCTCGATCGGCCAGTAATTAACCATATTTATCATTTAAACTACTCAGTATCGACATTAATACGATGCGGAAAGAAATTAGAAAAAGCAAAATTTAAAAATAGTCAAAAACGGTACGGTCGGAAACGGTACCCCTTAAACGGAAACATCGCCCGATCGATCGGTAATTTTCGTGACCGTTTTCACCCCTATATCACGTGATACTTGATAGAATCACGTGATATCACCCCTATCAAGATATGATACATGAGTGGTATTAGGATCTGATACCAGATCATCCCGTCCGAATGAGGGCCCCCATTTATTAAGAAGGGGATCTGGTGTGCCAGGTTGCCTCCCCTCGTGACCCAACAAACGGCCGAAAGCCCAACAGGATGGACACACACAACTACGAGACCTCTAAACAGAAGTGGGCCTTGGTCTGGGCATCCGGCCCGGCCGCCTCGCACACACTCGCGGCTTCGGCGCCTGCCCTGCCGCAACCCGCAAGCCGGCAATCCTTCCTTCCTTCCTCCACCGCTAGATGGCCTAGATTTCCCCCCGTTCTCGGGCCATTGCCTCGCGGTGCGACGAGCCACCGGGAATCCGGGATCTCCGCCGTTCGGGGACCGAGGGGGAGAATAGGGGAGAACGGAGAAGGTCTGCGGGCTCAAACTCCTACCCAGGCAGATGACGCTCCATGGAGTCATGGCGCATTTGAGGTATGCCGGAAGGTTTTTTTTACCAAGCGACCTGGGAATTGAAGCAGCGGAGAAGAGGCTCCAGTGCGGCAGGCTGTCCGAAAGGGCTTGGAACCTGGTAGAGGTACGATTTCTTCAGGAGATAACCTGGGGTGGTGGCACGGGACTCTGCCGTTTCACTGCTTCAAGCTCAAGGTGGCTGGCGGCATCTGGCAGGTCCATCTCCTCTAGCTTGTGTCTTTTAGTTGCAAATCAATCATCACTGGTTGTGGGTTTGAATTATTGGGCGAAGTGTTCATGCGTCTGGTCTTGAAATTTGGCTTTTTATCTATTGCGTAGAAAGTGGACGTGTGTATACTGGTTCTACTCACCTAGTCACCTCCCTGCCACTGCTATTAGTGTCAGGGAATACACACGCACAGATAATGGCAAGGACGTCATTTAGAAAAGCCCACTAGTGCGTGTCATGTTGCTTATGTGCAAATTTTATACACTTTCTTGACTGACCAAAGGTTGTATGCGGTCATTTTTTTCTCTCTCGGTGCTAGCTTTAATATTTGGAAAGATGTTAAGAGAAGATGACATGACATCGATTTCATTTTATTTGTTTGATGAGTCTGGTGTACCACCAATCCAATTATTGGTTTATTACTGTAAATTAGGATTGCATCCACTATTAGCGTAGTGGTTAATCATTTCATATCCTTATCCTGTCGAGGGAACTTCAAAGAGATTTTCTAAGGCACCTTGAAATCACTGTTCTTATTTTGATGCAAAAGTTCACCATGAACTATGATGTTTCAATATAGTGTATGCAAGTCTTTCGGTGATGCTTTATCGCATAATAGTTCTATAAAATATACCGTGTATACATTTGTCAGCCTCATGCCTGCAGATTTTGCCCATGTTTTTTTTTTTTTTTTTTGCGGGGAGATTTTGCCCATGTTGCAGTAAGTTACACACACACACGCACACAAAATATGCTAGTATTTAAACTATTCTTGTTTCAATAGATTTTACTGTATTTGGTTTCTTACTATGCTATTTCCGACTTGTTTAATTTGATAGTGAGGGCCATAGACTATAATGAAAAACAACAAAATAATGAGGACCAGATCATGGTCCGGCTAGAATATCTTAGTAGTCCTTTTAATGAGGTCCAGCTCATCTGAATATTAGAAAAATATCAATTTGCCACTAACATTTAACAACGTCCCACTTGTCTCTGTCTATCCAAAATAACACACTGATTTGCATATGTGTTTTTCTTTCATTGTGCCCAAGCATTCTTATCTGCGGCAATTGGTAGAGATCTTCCTCTCACACCTGCTCTGCAATACAAACGCATCTGGCTTTGGTAACCTTACACTCCTCTCTTAGTATTCCATTCCTTCACGCTCTCTTGTCTCTGCTTAAGTTCTCTATCGTTTGGTGCCATCATGTATTGATTCCTTTTTCCTCTATTTCCCACTCCAAACATTTCCATAACCAGTCACACACACACACACACAAAAAAAAGGACAAAAAAAATGTTTCGGAAGTTTTTCTGTTATCTTCCTCTCAGAAGAAAAATCTCTACATCCCCATCTGTTCTTATGCCCTGCTTCTATTAATTCACTTGTTCACAGCTGCACCAGTGTTGTTCATGGCGGAGGTGGTGTTGGCAGGCTTATGTTTGGCAGCAACACCAATCTGTGTGAAGCTCCTCATCAACGCTTCGACGTACCTTGGCGTGGACATGACACATGAGCTCCATGAACTGGAGACCACCATCATACCACAGTTCGAGCTGGTGATCGAAGCAGCTGAGAAAGGAAACCACAGAGTCAAGCTGGACAGATGGCTCCAGGAGCTCAAACAAGCCTTCTACAATGCTGAGGACCTGCTGGACGAGCATGAGTACAACATCCTTAAGTGCAAAGCAAAAAACAAGGATTCTCTAGCGAAAGATTCCACCCAGGTGCATGGCTCTTCCATCAGCAATATTCTGGAGCAGCCTATGCATGCTGTGTCCAGTAGGATGTCCAATCTGTGGCCAGAGGACAGAAAGATACTTTGCCAGCTGAATGAACTGAAGACCATCCTGGAGAAAGCCAAGGAGTTCCGTGAGCTGATTCACATACCTGCTGGTAATAGTCTTGAAGGTCCCAGTGTCCCAACAACCATTGTCCCTGTAGTGACATCGCTGTTGCCGCCAAGAGTATTTGGTCGTGACAAGGATCGTGATCGCATAATACATCTTCTTACTAAGCCAATGGCTACTGTTTCTAGCTCAGTCGGCTACTCTGGTTTGGCCATTATTGCACATGGAGGAGCAGGAAAATCCACATTGGCACAATATGTTTACAATGACAAGACGGTGCAAGAACATTTTGATGTCAGGATGTGGGTCTGCATCTCACGCAAACTTGATGTCCATCGTCATACACGGGAGATTATCGAGTCCGCAGAAAATGGACAGTGCCCACGTGTGGACAATCTTGACACCCTCCAGTGCAAATTGAGGGACATACTTCAAAAATCAGAGAAATTCCTGCTTGTGTTGGATGATGTCTGGTTTGATGAATTCAACAATGAAACAGAATGGGACCAGCTGCTTGATCCTCTAGTTTCTCAGAAAGAAGGGAGCAGAGTTCTGGTGACTTCCAGACAAGATGTACTTCCAGCAGCACTTCGCTGCAAGGATGTCGTTCGTTTGGAAAACATGGAAGACACTGAGTTCTTGGCTCTCTTCAAACACCATGCGTTCTCTGGAACAGAAATAAAAAATCCACAGCTGCGTGGAAGACTAGAGAAGATTGCAGAGAAGATTGTTAATAGGCTTGGACATTCTCCTTTGGCAGCTAGTACCGTGGGTTCCCAGTTGAGCAGGAATAAGGATATCAACTTATGGAAAAGTGCTCTGAATATTGAAAATTTAAGCGAGCCCATGAAAGCTCTATTGTGGAGTTATAATAAGTTAGATTCACGTTTGCAGAGGTGTTTTCTCTACTGCAGCTTATTTCCAAAAGGTCATAAGTATAAAATCAAAGAGATGGTTGACCTTTGGGTAGCAGAGGGATTAATTGATTCACACAGCCCCGGGGACAAGAGAATTGAAGATGTTGGTAGGGATTACTTCAATGAGATGGTGTCTGGGTCTTTCTTTCAACCAGTTTCTGAAAGATATATGGGTACATGGTACATTATGCATGATCTGCTTCATGATTTGGCAGAGTCACTGACTAAAGAAGACTGCTTCAGATTAGAAGATGATGGGGTGAAAGAGATACCAACCACTGTTCGACATCTATCTGTACGTGTTGAGAGTATGAAATTCCATAAGCAAAGTATCTGCAAGCTTCGTTATTTACGCACAGTTATCTGCATTGACCCACTCATGGATAATGGAGATGATGTTTTCAATCAGGTACTGAAGAATCTGAAGAGGTTACGTGTACTATATTTGTCATTTTACAACAGTAGCCGGTTGCCTGAATGTATTGGTGAGCTGAAGCACCTTCGGTATTTGAATATCATCAAAACATTGATTTCTGAATTGCCAAGATCATTATGTACTCTTTACCAGTTACAGTTACTTCAGTTAAACAAAAAGGTGAAGTGTTTGCCTGACAAGCTGTGCAATTTAAGTAAGTTACGACGTCTTGAAGCATTTGAGGACAGAATAGATGAATTGATAAATGCTGCTCTGCCTCAAATTCCTTACATAGGCAAGCTAACTTTGCTGCAACATATTGATGGATTTTTCGTGCAAAAGAAGAAGGGATATGAGTTGCATCAACTGGGGAACATGAATGAGCTCGGTGGTAATTTGCGTGTGATGAATCTTGAAAATGTTAGTGGAAAGGATGAAGCCTCAGAGTCGAAGCTGCATCAGAAAACTCATCTTAGAGGTTTGCATCTCTCCTGGAATGATGTGTATGGCATGGATGTTTCACATTTGGAGATTCTAGAAGGCCTGAGGCCGCCATCTCAATTGGAGGACCTTACAATTGAAGGTTACAAATCCGCCATGTACCCAAGCTGGTTACTTGATGGCTCCTATTTTGAGAATCTAGAGTCTTTTACGCTTGCTAATTGCTGTGGGATAGGAAGCCTACCACCCAATACCGAGATCTTTAGGCACTGCCTGACACTTACCCTTGAGAATGTCCCGAATATGAAGACACTATCTTTTCTTCCAGAAGGTCTCACAAGCCTATCAATTGTGGGGTGCCCACTGCTTGTGTTTACTACTAATAACGATGAACTAGAACACCATGATTATAGGGAGAGCATCACGAGGGCAAGCAACCTGGAAACACAACTTGTTTTGATTTGGGAAGCAGATTCCGATTCAGATATTAGGAGAACATTGTTGTCCGAACACTCATCCATGAAGAAGCTGACAGAATTGATGGATACTGATATTTCAGGAAATCTTCAAACCATTGAAAGCGCTCTAAAAATAGAGAGAGATGAAGCCTTGGTTAAAGAAGATATCATCAAAGTATGGCTCTGTTGCCATGAGGAGAGGATGAGATTCATTTATTCAAGGAAGGTTGGGTTGCCGTTTGTTCCACCATCAGGACTATGCGAACTCAATCTTTTCTCCTGTAGTATTACAGATGGTGCTTTAGCTATTTGCCTTGGTGGACTGACTTCGCTTAGAAATTTGTTCTTAACCGAAATTATGACTTTAACTACGCTTCCACCGGAAGAGGTCCTCCAACATTTGGGGAATCTTAGATACTTGGTCATTCGTTCCTGCTGGTGTCTCAGATCGTTCGGGGGCTTGCGATCTGCTACCTCTCTTTCAGAAATAAGATTATTTTCCTGTCCTTCTTTACAGTTGGCACGTGGCGCAGAATTTATGCAAATGTCCCTTGAGAAGCTATGTGTATACAACTGTGTGCTTTCAGCTGACTTCTTCTGTGGTGACTGGCCACATCTGGATGATATTCTCTTATCTGGGTGCAGAAGCTCGTCGTCCTTGCATGTTGGTGATCTTACCTCCCTCGAATCATTCTCACTATATCATTTTCCAGATTTATGCACGCTGGAAGGTTTGTCTTCCCTGCAGCTTCACCACGTGCATTTGATAGATGTTCCAAAGCTTACTACCGAGAGCATCTCACAGTTTCGCGTCCAGCGTTCGCTCTATATTAGCAGTTCTGTTATGCTCAACCACATGCTCTCTGCTGAAGGTTTCGTTGTTCCAGAGTTTCTCTCTCTTGAAAGCTGCAAGGAGCCATCCGTTTCATTCGAAGAATCTGCAAACTTCACATCCGTCAAGTGCCTGAGGTTATGTAATTGTGAAATGAGGTCACCACCAGGAAATATGAAGTGCCTATCCAGTCTAACGAAACTCGATATCTATGATTGCCCCAACATATCATCTATACCAGATCTGCCGTCCTCCCTCCAGCATATATGTATATGGGGTTGTGAGCTCTTGAAGGAGAGCTGCAGAGCACCTGAAGGAGAAAGCTGGCCAAAGATTGCGCATATCCGCTGGAAGGAATTCAGATGAATTGTGCTTCAGAATCACAACTAGAGAGAAACGGAAAGGTGAAGGTTACATCAATGCATTGTCAGAAGTATTTTCTTTTCTGTATTATTTATTTCGTTAACCCATGATCATGCAAACACATTATTTACTTCAATGTTTCCTTGTTTATTTATTTTGAACAGACACCCCAAGATTGGCACATATACGTTTCCCTGCTGCCATCCACCGACTCGCCGCCTCCTTTTATTCGGTTTCTCTGCCACTGACGGCCCATGATCGTGTCCTGTTGCTTAAATGGAGTCTTGTTGGTTTAAGAAAATCTCTGTGTCTCTTGAAGACTCAACTATCTTGTATTTGTTAGGATACGATAGGCAACCAAACCATAAAAAACAATAGATCAATCATAAAATATACGAGATTTTAACGTGGAAAACCCTACCAAAACAGGAGAGAAAAAACCACGGGCGTCAGCCAGCAAAATATCTTTACTATATCTGGGGTGAGGTTACAACGCCGCACGTCGGCTTACAAGAGGTATATATATGGTGGAACCCTAGAAGGAATGACGATCCGGCCCAAGCCTCCCGGCGACGGGCCTCCGCTCCACTACGGCAGAAGCTGGCCTTTATTAAGTGCAAATGAATTTGGATCATAACTCAACAGTATTTTATTATGTGATGTGATATACTATTCCAGTACTTGGATTTTACACTTCACACAAATATACAGTTTGCTTCAAATGTTTGTCTATGTAGTTTGCATAAAGTTTGTATGGATATCGATTATTTGTGTAAGTTTCTGATGCTTTTATCGCACGATAGTTCTTGATAGTTCTCACCTCACTTCGAATGTGTCCTTGACTCCTTGTTGAGCTGCCCGGCAGTCTGACAAAATTTGATCAGTCCCCATTGTTTCTGTTGCACTCTGGCGCTTGGATTGTTTGACTTAGTTCTCTCTCTATCCTCCCGGTTGAGTAAGATATAGGTGGTGTTTGAATCTCCTGAAGATAAAAATAAAGATAAAAATTAAATGTTTCACACAAAACGAGGTGGTAATAACGTGTGAGTAATTAAGCTTTAATCATTACAAACTTGAAAAATAGATTAATATGATATTTTAGAACAACTTTCATATAGAAAGTTTTCACACGAAACGAACCGTTTAGCTGTTTAAAAAGCGTGCCACGAGTATCCAAAAGTTTATCCAACGTTTGTTAGCAGATTAATTTTGATAATAGTAGCAGAATGTCCGTCCGTTGCTACCGGTGGAAGCACGTGACTTCGCGCGTCACCTACTTCCTCCGTTTCATAATGGAAGTCATTCTAACATTTCCCACATTTACAGTGATGTTTCTAGATTCATTAACATCAATATGAATGTGGAAAATGCTAGAATGACTTACATTGTGAAACGGAGGGAGTAGTTGTTAGTTCGCAATATAATTATGGGAACATAAGAAAAACTTACTAAGAATAGTTTAACCCAATATATCGATTCTTAATTTTCATCAATAGAAAGGGGCATCCGAGTATCCGACAGAACTGAATATTGGACTCTCTGGTTGAATATGCATACATGTACTGAGCACTGATCCAGATCAATAAAAAGACGTTACTGACACGGAAACACAGCATCAGGTATGCACGAACTGAAAGCATAACTCTGCATGATTGCATCTTTGGCTAACGGCTGTCTATGGAGTGTTAGACGTCGATAAATTCAACCCAGAGATCATTCCAGCCCAGCTATGCATGATTGCATCTTTGCCTAGCCTACTTAGTGACCAACTGCCCCCTCCGTTTCAGATTATAAGATGTTTTTGACTTTGATCAAAGTCAAACTGTTTCAAATTTAACTAAATTTATAGAAAAAAATAGTAATATTTTCCACCCAACATAAATTTATTATTAAAGTACATTTAATTATTAATTTAATAAAACTAATTTGGTAATGTAAATATTACTTTATTTCTCTATAAATTTAGTCTAACTTTATACAATTTAACTTTGATCAAAGTCAAAACATCTTATAACTTGAAACGGGTGGAGATATTGGGATACGCCCCACGTAGGAGCGTTAGGTATGCCCAGGTAACGGAGCTTACCCTTTACATTCCTCAGTTCTAGCATATCCTTGCTGTGCCAGATTGGGAAACCGCTAATAAGCGGCTAGTCACGCACTCCATCTTCGCGTGGCGCAGCCACAGGATGCCGGGGCCACGTGGCGTTTTTTTTTTCTTTTTTTCAAGTTTTTTAAAGGTTTTTTGGTTCTTTTTTCAGGTTTTTTGGGATTTTTTTAGGTTTTTTATATGTGTATAAAGTTTATATACGTGATTTTTTTCGGTTATAAAGGGGGGTCGTGCCGGGAGGGAGCCACGTGGTGTTTTTTCTTTTTTTTCAAGTTTTTAAAGGTTTTTCCGGTTCTTTTTTCAGGTTTTTTGGGTTCTTTTTTAGGTTTTTTTATATGTGTATAAAGTTTATATACGTGAATTTTTTCTGTTATACAAAGTTGTATGTATACGTATACAGAGTTATACAGTAAAAAATGTGTATATATAAAATTCTCTATCTCTACTAATTAAAAAATTGAAAACGTTCCCGTTGTCCATAATAAAGAAAAAAGGGCGAAAAAATAAAACAACAAAATAAAGTCTGATTCAATTTGACGAGAAGAAAACAAGTCTGTAAAAAAAGGCCCGTAAAAAAGGGTGCTAAAAAAAAGGCAAAGAAGGGCGAAAAAAAAGTCTGATACAATGCAACGTAATCTCTATCTCTATCTCTTCTCTAATCCCTATTCTCTGACTACTTAAAAAATTAAAAACGTTTTCGTTATCTGTAGCCCGGCGAAATTTTTTATAGCCCGGCGAAGTTTCCGTTATCTGTATATAATAAAAATAGAAAAAAAGTCCGATTATATGGTATAAGGGGCAAGAAAAAACAAGGCAAAAACAACATAAGATTTATATATGTTTCCATCATCCGTATATATCTATTTATCTCTAATCTAATCTAATCATACTACTTAAAAAAGATAAGTTCCTGTCGTCCTTAAAAAAGAAAAAAAATACGTGAGAGAAAAAACAGTTTCCAAAAAAACGCCTGAGAAAAAAAAAATAAAAAAAACACACGAGAGAAAAAGCAAAAAAACGCGAGAAAAAATGTTAGAAAAACGCGCAAGAAAATTACGGTTTCCATCGTCTGAAAAAAAACACACAAGAAAATTACGGTTTCCATCGTCTCTAATCTAATCTAACTACTAATTTAAAAGAGAAGTTTCAATCGTCCGTTAAAAAGTAAAAAATGTGCGAGAAAAAAAAAGCAAAAGACGCTCAAGAAAAAACAAGAAAAAAAAAAGCGTTAGAAAAACTGTCAGAAAAAGCCAAAAATACGCGCAAGAAAAAAAATAAAAAAAAGCGCGAGAACAATATGGTTTTTGTCGTTGGTAAAAAAAAAGCAAAAAAAAACGATAGGAAAAAACTGTCAGATAGAAATGCGTCATTTCTAAGAAATAGTTTGAGAAAATACAGTTTTCGTCGTCGGTTAAAAAAGAAAAAAAAATGCTAGGAAAAAACTAACAGAAAGAAATACGTCATTTTAAAAAATGGTTTGAGAAAACCGCACAAGAAAAAAAATACCGTTTATAAAAAATTGGATTGAGAAAACTATCCAAGAAAACCGTCCGACTCAATGTGAGAAAAAAAATCACCATTTCTAAGAAAATGTTAGAGAAAACCGTGCGACTCTAGACGAGAAAAAAACCGCCATTTATAAGAAGAACCGCTCCGAAAAACCGTCCAACTCAATGCGAGATAAAATTGATGGACGCTTGGGTCAGACAGGATCCATCGATTTTTTTTCTATTTCCTACACGACTTTTGTTTCCTCATCTATTCTCCTGTATTGGAGACCCTGCACGTCACTGTATGCAATTATCAGACTATTTTTGTTAAGTATAGCTTTCTTGATAACATATTATATGAAAATAATATTACAAAATAAACATATTTTTAATTGTTATTTAGAGAAGAGTGCATGGTGACTATTTTGTGTAGACTTGACCATGAGTGTAGGATTTAATTAATCCTATTATTAATTGCAAGAATGAAATTGAAAGAGTATTTTAGATTATATGCATGTTATCACATGAATAATCCAATTATTCTGGGTAAGGCAAGCATCGGTGAGCTTATCATCGTCGAGGTTGGGTCATTCCATTGTTCTAATTTTCTAATTCTGTTAGCTATAACGATCCATAAAAACATTATCATTGATATGGTTATGTACGAAAAATGTATATTGTCATTGGATTTTTTTTTTACCCGTTGCAACGCAGAGCGTTTTTGCTAGTTATACGCCACAACCTCCCAGATGGAATAAGTTCACTTTAGGTCCCTTAATTTGTCACCGAGTTCGAAATTCATCCATGCACCGTAAAATCGGATACAACGCATCCCCCAACTTACAAAACCATGCAAACAGGAACCCTCAGCAGTATTATCCCTGGTTTTGGCTGATGTGGCACCCATGTAGCTCCTTTGACTAGGTCTTCATCACACGTGGCATTGACGTGGCTCTTACGTGACAATTCGATCCGGAAAATTAATTAAACACATGGGACCCACATGTCAGTTTCACACACAATAACAAAAAAAGTGGGGTCCATGTGGTCCCACATGCCATCCTCACTATTCCCCTCCTCTCTCTATCATGTCTCCCTTGTTCTCTCTCTCCTCTCTCTCCGAGCTCCTCCACCTCCTCGCCGCACGCCATACATGGCCGCGGCAACCTGGATTCAAACGCGCAAACACCCCCCCCGATCTGGTCCCCAACCACAAAGAAGAACCCACCCATCCACTCCACCACCATCTCCAATGACAACGCCCCCATGCCGACGAGGAGCGGGATGGGGTACGTGCCATCGACGAGCCCCACGGCGGCGAACACTGCCTTCGGGAATGTCTTCCTCGGCTCCTCCACCTCGCCAACGAGCATGCTCGCCTTGTCCCAGTAGTTGAGATTCCATACATGTAGTTGAAGTAGGCGCGTGGCTCGACGGCAAGCCACCAAGACGGGTGGATCTTGGGGACAGCTAGCCACCGAGAGGGACCGGACCGGCAGGGACAGGACGACCCCGCCGCCGGAGCAGAGGTAGTCGAGGAAGAGCACCGGGTAGAACCGTTGTCTAGCGTCCCCGACTCCCACTTGGAGAACTTGATGAAGAAGGCCACGACGGGGCCGAACGCCACGGAGACCAAGACGACATAGCCGGCATTGGTGGAGGGGCTCGATGATGCCGCTCTACGCCTCGAGGACGCACGACGAGGAGGTGGAGTAGTGTTGACGCAAAAAACACACACTGGCCTAGGAGATCTGCTTAGCTCCAGTGCAGGTCCAAATCTTGATGAGGTGCGGGCGTACCCGTCAGTTTGACCATGACAACTGACAAGATATACAAATAGCTGATCAATGAGCCGATCGGCTGACAAGCCGATAGATTAATTATAGCCAATGCCGATACCAGCCGATAGCGATAGGGTTTTGAGGTATCGACTATAATTCTAATGTAGATTCTGACGCTTGATGTAAATAACAATATAAAGACAATCGGCTGATGATAATGCAAGAAAGCAACAATATAATCCAATAAAGACCAATCGGCTAACAATGATATGATAGAATAAGCATTGATCCGAAAGTTAAAGCATACATCGGCTGGAGGTTCGATGTCTTTAAATCCACAAGATTAGATAAACAGTAAAATTTTTGTTACGATCGGATCGGCTAAATCCAATATGTATGCAATCCTGTAAGCCGATGCAACGTTCAGATAA